AAGCTTTTCATACTACAGAATGGTTCTGGCCAGTAGATGGGATTGTGGGGGAACAAGTCAGGCCCTGAGAAGGCTGAGACCATCTTGAAACTGGAGCAGGCTGGCTCACATTGGAAAGATGGAAGGAGCCAGAGTGCTAGGGGCCTTGCTTGTAGATGGACGGGTCCGGGGTTCAAGCCCCACTTTGGAGCCAGCAGAGGTCTTCAAGAAGAGAAATGGCATTTGGCAACAGAGTGGAGGAGGCTGAAGACAGAAGAAACTCTGGCCCTGTGAAGAGCTCTGTCCTTGGTGTGGAGTTTATGTGGGGGCCCTGACCTCAGGGCACTGGCCGTGAGAGTGTCATGAAGGAGACATATTGTGGCAGCACTTTGGGGAGAATGTTGGGAATTACCTGGCCTTGTGAGCCCAGTAGATCTGGGTTCAGATCTTGACTGCCACTTGCTAGCTTGTGAGATTTCAGTGTCTGTGTGCTTTAGTTTCCCAAGCAATGCAGAAGGGGTGCATGACTCCTATCTCACAGGTTATGGTGGGGAAATGGAGTGAGCTGTTCCTAGGAGCTTCTATGGCTTTGTATGAATTAATTCTCTTAATCTTTCTGCCCTGTGAAGTGTTGGTGAGTTAGGTACTATGATCTTCACCATTTGACAGACGAGGAGACTGAAAATTTCAGAGGTTACAGAACTTACCCAAGGTCACATTGTATTTGGAATAATAGTGGCCCATACTGTTAGCCATTTTACTTAAAATACCCATGACACAGAGTAACTAACTGGGCAGGGGAAAAGAACAGCACTTTGAAGAGATGACAGCTGAACCAGAGATCTGGTGTGTGAGAATGCACCCGGCACCTTGTGAAGAGTGTAAGGGCAGAACCTGACTTCAGAAGAGCTTTCTTGGTCTAAGGAGATAATGGAGAGGTCAGTGTACTTGGAGTAGAGTGAGCGAGCTAAGGAGACAAGAGCAGGGAATAAGGGGACAGAGAGGTGTAGAGCAAGTAGACAGACATCCAGCAGGGCCTTAGGGGTGTGGGAAGGGCTGGGATTTTACTCCAAGGAGTACAGGAAGCCACTGGAGAAATTTTAACAGAGACACAGTTCAGAGAATCATTCTGGCAACTGTGTGGAAGGGATTGTAGACTACCTGGGCAACTTCTTCCATAGTTCATTGGAAAGGTGCTAGTGACAGGCTGTCTAGCACTGGCCTAGATAATGGAGAAAAGTGGACAGAGGTTTTAGAGTAGAGATAACCAGACCTGCTGGTGGCCTGGATGTGATGAGGGAAAGAGAATTCATATATGACATATGGGTTTTTAGGTTGAACATTTGGGGTGATGAATAGTATCTTTTACCCAAAAGGGGAAGTGTTTCAAAGGGTGGGGAACAAGGTAAGGTAGAAAGTGAAGTTCCATTTGAGATGTGTAGAAGACATACAAATGGCAGTATTCAGTAGACAGTTGGATATGTGAATCTAGACAGAGCTTGGGAAGGCATCTGGGATAGAGACAGAAATGTGGGACTCATTGGCATGTGCAATAGAAGTATGGGAGCGTGGTAGAAAGACAACCCAGGGTATTGCAAATGTGAGATGCTTTACTACAACACTCAAGTTTTGTTGGTGGACACAATCCTCAAAATAGGCATAGCAGCTCCAAATAACTGAATATATTTACTCCTGTTCAACGTCTAATTTCAGGAAGAGGGTCTTCATTCTGCATGTGATTGTGGAGGTTCTGCACACAGGTGCTCGAGTGTCCATGTGCTTAAACCCATTCTTCCTACTCTGCTGGCCTGGGTTTTGCAAAGTACATGATGGCCTAAATGTGGGTGCTGAGCCAGTTGCTGATTGGAAGTTTGGGATGACCTGAATCCTGAGGAAGATTTAGGGCTTACACACAATAAAATCTATTCTTTTAAATTAGTTCAGAGTCCCTGGGGTCAGGTACAGTTTTTAAACATTTTATTATTTTGAGGTAGATAATGGTTTAAATTGTACATTTAAAGCATATTTTGTAAGTTTTTTTTAACTTAGTAGGAACTTGTTTTTATCAAATCTATTTTGTTTTCAGTAGTAAATCAAACTTTTTCCTCCTTGCATTTGAGCAAGGTCCATGTGTTAATTTGTAGATGGACTGATTGTGAATTTATGGTTTAAAAATACTCACAAACATATATACTGTATCTCACAAAAAATTATTTTATTTTCTCTGTTACCACAACATTCCACACTCTGTTTCTGTTGCTAAGGCCTCTGGAATGTCCCAGTGCAGAAAAAGGATATAGAATTCTTTTTTTTTTTCTGAAGGCATTTTATTTTAATTATTTTGTATCTTCTAGCTTACTTCCAGATATGGATATCTGAAAGTAAAGAATTTAGAAAGCTAAAACTAAATTTGCTTTAGATTTTTATAACCAGAGCTTGATTTCATAGGGTAGCATGGAAGAGATATAAGTACACTATGTATCTTCCACAGGAATTCCTTGTGTGTACATACATGTAAACATGCAGAAACACAGGCTGTTTAGGGAGATGTCGTATGCTAGTCAGAGATTAAGAACTGAGCTCACGGGTAGTGCAAGCCTGAGTTTGCATCCTGTTTGTACTTTCTTGGCTGGGTGATATTAGATAGGTTCACATGTCCATCAGTAAAATCAGGATTATATTCAAGGATAAAACATAAAAAGTGCTTAGCACAGGGCCTGGTGAGGTAGTCTCTCAGGAAATGCTAATGTTTTACTGTTTTACCATTACGGTTATCATTATTTACTGCAGATGATCTTAAGTTATGGAGAAATTGAGCTTTTTACAGAAGCATAGATTTTTGGTCCCTGATAGAATGACTGCTAGCCTCTTAGTTTTATTTGTGTTTCTGAGTCTAACAAAATGATCAAAGGAATCAGAGCAAAAAATAACAATTTCTACATAATCATCGTTGTGGCCAGTTGAATTCCTATGACTTGAAAGGATTGGTGCAGTTTTTTATTTTTATAAAAATTGCCTTTTTATGAGGAAGTAGTGGTATTTGGCAAAGTGATGTATTTTAAACAACATTGTTGGACATTGAGTGCTGTGGGAAACCATGCAAACTAGCACATCACAGAGGCCTAGATCTGTACTGAGACTACATACTTTAATACTGTTTTAACTACTATTTATTACTAAAACTAATTAAGTTAATATTATTAATGAGGCTGGTAATTTGATGTTATAGACATTGCAGTCGTGCCATTTCTGTAAGTCAGATTTTCCTTCTTATTTGTCCTGTATTGGAAGCATTCAGCTCAGGGGTATATGGAACTTAAGGTAAACTATTTTGAATTTTTATTATTAAAAATAAAATCTCAAGAAACTATAGCCATGGAAAATATTGACCATTACATGGGCATGCTTTCAAGGAAAATAGCACATTGTTTGGCTCATTTTTATTAAATTATTAGTCTTAATCAGAGAAGCAGTCTGCTGGATTTATGTAATCTAATCAGTTTATGCAGTCAACAGTGTCAGCCTTGGCATTTCAAATTATTGGGATTGGAATCTGGAAGGAATTTGTAGAAATCATATTCCTCTGCTCTTCAAGGGACCAAAACCAAGCCATTGCAATGAGTCAGAATTGAAACCCAGCTCTTGACTTAAAGTATTTAACTTCTCTGTGAATCTGTTTCCTCCTCTTTAGAATGGACTTAGAATGGTATCTGCCTAGGCAGTTGTGAGGATAGAATGAAATAGTAGCACATATAAACTGCTGAATGCTGCCACTGTGTCCCAGAATCATATTAGTTCCTGGTATATTTCAGATTGATAGCTAGCAATCTGCAATTCGGGGTGATAGAAAGTGTTTAAGAAAATCTGAGCTATAGGCACGTGTAGGTATTAGATCAGTAATTTTATTTTAGAGATTATGATCACATTACATCTCCTCAGGACATTTGCTTTTTTTTCCTTTAATACCAAGATCACCTAAGCTGGAGAAGGTATAAAATTAAATCTTAACTGAAAGAAGGCAGACACTGATCAGCTTTGTAGATCTTTCCCCCACCCCACCCTTTATGCTTGGTCTACTAAAATTATTTGCTAATTGAAATGTGCTAACTATCCATTCATTGCAGGTATTCTAAATAGTGCATGTAGTGTAAAATAGTTACGTATGGCTTGTTTAAAGTCATCAATTTTGAAATATTTAAAAGATGTAGATTCTGGATCTGAACTTTTAGCCCTGTTCTCTAGATTGTTGTTAATTAAATTACTTTCACTTTTCATGTATATGAAGATAATTGAGTTTTACGGCTTAATTAAATTTAAACTTCTTACTGTAAAAATATCCAACTTGTATCTTACTCTATGCTACTAACTGGATTTAGATTAATGTATTGTGTGAAATGCCGTGTTTGTACTGAAGTTCCAGCTGTCTAGTAGCATCAAGTATGTAAGCAAAAGGACTAGAGATTGTTGCACTCTGAAAAAAAAAAGAGTATAAAAATAATTTTCTTCGTATTGCATGCTAATGAAATCAGCAATTTTACTCCTTAGTGAAACCTCTGCTTCCTTTCTTAACTGTTCATAAAACTCAGAGACCAGATGACTGGAATAGAATGTATAGTTAAACAGATAAAACCACTAGATGGTATAGCTTTGTGAATTGCTAAAATAAGCAGTTTATACAATTGCAAATTCTTCCCCATAACCATTGGTAGAGTTCATCTAAAATTGCTTTATTGTACAATGCATTCATTATTTGCATTTCAATGTATTTGTCAGTTTTACCTCATACCAATGATTTTGGGTGCATTTTATTTTAATCCTTTGTAACAGTGTTTTTGTAATCCTGATTTGATTTCTTTCTTAATAGTCATGGTATGCCACATCAGTTACTTTTAAATTGGAGTTAACATTTGTCCTGGTGCAGTTTATTTTAAGGTAGCTCCTTTAGAAAGTATGGCCACCCCAAATGGTTTCATATTGATTATAACCACATGAGTGAGTGATGCTCTCTTTCTTTGTTGCAGACATGCCAATATTTGGTCTCTGTCCAGCCCATGATGATTTCTACTTGGTGGTGTGTAACGATTGTAATCAGGTTGTCAAACCGCAGGCATTTCAATCACATTATGGTAAGTGCTTAATCATTTAAAAGTCATTATTGGAGGGTAAAAGGGTAAAGCAGGATTAAACTGGAGGCCAGTGAGCCCAGGTAGGATATGCTATCTCCCCCATCTGGAAGTAGGCTTTCTCATTCATTGAATGGGTTAATGCCTATCAGATGTTGGGTATTTCCTGAATTTTATTGAAAGTGATGTTCATTTTCCAATTTTTATTAGACAAGGAGTATATTTTTTAAAATATAAAATCTCTTTTGAAATATTGCATCAGTATAGTAAAAGGTTTGCTTCCTTATAGATCATGAGGTTGGGAATGTAGCGGCAGGTAAAATTATAAATACACAAAATGGAGACATGGCTTTTTAAGGAAATGTAATTTTGAAACTTCCAAGTTTAGTAGTTCTAAATCTATCTTTATGTCATGTTCCAATTTGTGAGTGTTAAAGCTATGACATCTTCTCTATCAGAATTGCACGTGTACTTAAAATGATGCATTGTGACTTCAGGGGTTTCATGAGTCCGAGCTCTCCCAGGGCTTCAGCCTCCAAGCCTGTTATCTGGGTGTTTAGTCCTGAAAGTGTCCAAATGAGGTCTTCTACATTACCGTAATGCCACCTAACGTGTTTAAAATAAAATTCTGATCACAAAGCTTAGTTTTATACTCAGTTTGGTTTGATAAAAATTCAGAAGTATTTGAATACACACATCATAGTATGATTCCTACCTCCATGGAGTTTAAAATCTAGCTGCAGAAAGTGGCAAAACTAACCAGAAACATTTTTAAAATAACTACAAGTTATTTCCTCATTTTCCTCACTGCCCCAATGCTACCTTGAGACAGAGAATACCAATGGGATCCTTCTGTAGATACTGTTTAAGCAAAGTCTCTGAGGAGGTGACTCTGGTGACCTGAACCCTAAGTGATAAGAAGGGAGCCACCCATGTGACCATCTGAAATAAGAGCATTTGACATAGAGGCAAGAGCTGGTGCACATACCTGAAGAAGGCCAGTGTGACTAGAGGGTACATAGTGAAAAGAAGTAGAGACTAGAGAAATCTGGCCTTGTAGGCAGGGACCCTGAGTGTGCACAGCCTTCTAGGCCAGAGTAGGAAGAAGCTTGTGGGCTGTTAGAGGGTTTATGTAAGGTAGTAACACAGGCCCATCTCACTTGTACCTTGTGGGAGAAGAGTAGAAGCAGAGAGAATAGTTAGAGGCAGGAGATGGTAATAGAATAAGGCTTAGGTAGGGCAGTAGAACTGGGGAGACAGCATAGCTTTGAGCTGCATTATAAAGCTCGAACCTACAGAGCTTGTTGTCAGGACAGCAGCTGTTTTAAGAGTCATACCATAATCAACATCCCACCATTTTTCCCCAAGGAATAAATCTTTTATGTAATCATAAGAAGGTTCTTTGAGTTTCTGCTTCTAGATGAGGCCCTGGAGCAGGTAGAGAGAATACAAAGATGAATAAGATATTGTCAATTGCCAAGTATTTTTGAGTTAGGATTTTGAAGCTAGATTAGACTGTATTTAAATTTAAACTGGCAAGAACCATAGGTTAGTTCTTTGCTTTGAGCAAGTTTTCCAACCTTGGTTTTCTTTGTTATAATATGGAAGTGGTAATAGCAACCTCATAGATTCCTGGTGAGGATTAAATGAAACAACATGGATAAAGCTCCTCATATAGTGCCTAATACATAATAGGTATGAAAGAGAGATAAAGGTACAGCTATATGTGGATATAGGAAAGTATGTGTCCAAAGTCATAAAACAGTCCAAGGGCTTAAGAAGAGGAGAACAGATACTTCTTGTTGAGTAATTCAGAGAAGGCTTCTTAAGCATTTTCACAATAGGCTGTTTCAAAGAGTAGAATGCATTCTTTTTCCCATGTGCATTTTCCCCTCAATTTTTAGATATATAATACCTGTGCATTGTGGAAAACATAGAAAATACTTTTATAAAATCACCTATATTTCCTTAAAACGGAAAGTATGTTGATGGGGATAGACAGGGCTACCACATACAGTCATATAGTTTGTGCATTGAACAGCCATATGTGGTGGCCCCTGGTTGGCAACTGGGGTGACATGACCAAGTACAGAAGCAGAAAATTCCAGGCTGTCTGGAATGTACTGCATGAGTTTCCATTGGCAGGAGCTGATGTACCCATGTGTGCCAGAGCTGTGTGCAAAGGCAGGCTGGGACTAGCTCAGAGAGCCTCAGTGCTCATCAGACACTTCTGGCTTTGATGTGTCAGTGGGACCTGTTAACAGGTTTTTTAGCTCCAGAGTGATGTGACTTAGTGGTCCTTGGGGATTGATGGGCAGAGTGCACTGGGAGTGAAGGAGGAAGAAGGGGTGAAAACTGTAGTTTAGGTCACTTGCTTAAAGATGTAGCTTCTTCAGGACTCCCTTAGGCAGAAAGGGGACTTCTTGGTCTTGTGTTCCAGAGACACTTCACACAACTATATAGCACTTTTTATAGAGATGATTTCCTTTATCTTTCTCTGTGTCTCTTAGAACATCAGTATATAGTAGGGATTGGGGAGGAACGTCTTAAAATCCTTTTTCTACTCTTTTTCTCTACCAGTAACTAGTACACATGAAGCACAGTGTGTCACGGATCCTGGCACCTGGGGTTCACGGTGTTATGGATGAGATGAAACAAATTTACACGGACTACCAAGTCCTGTGGAAGAAAAGGGACGGCAGGCTTTCCTCTCAAGGGGAGAGCGCCTCAACCCTTGCTTTGGTAGACTTTCATTGGGTTCAGTTTGCACAGGAATACAGGGTGTATACATAAAGCTCATCAATCATTGTCCAGCAGAAATGATTAAACAATAGATAACATTCAAAGAACTGTGATGGTTTATTCTGAGTCAGGGTCAGATAGTTAAAGGGCCATAAAACTTTAGGGAACAAACACTTCCTGGTTGGACCCTTATCCTTTAAATTGAGGGTATTAGCAAAGTAGGTTTCATAGGATTTTATGCATTCTTTCTTAGGCCTGATCACCCTAGGGAACCTGCCCTTTCCAGCACAGGGCTACACCCACCTCCAGCAGTGTTTCAGCCTTAAGGCATTGTTTCAGGCTTAAATCAGTCAGGGGAAGTAAGGCAGCCAAGAGATTAGGAGACTAATTGCAGATAGAATGAGAACTCAGGCTATTCAAAGCCAAGGGGCAAATGTCCATCACTCCCTTTTTCTATAGCCCCTCCCCCACCCCCCAGTCTTTCCCTGAGGGCCCCTTTGTGACCATGCCTGTCTTAGGTTGTTCCTCTTTTGAGGACTCTTACCCATCATTGGCTAACCAGTCATCTGCCTGGGGCCAAGCAGGGTGAAGAGAAAAGGGGCAGAGGTGGCGCCCCTACAAGGAAGATAAGCTTCATCTCCTAAGTGGCTTATGGTCCCAAGGTCCTTTACTCAGCCTTAACCATGGGGGATTATAGCTTGTGAAACCAGCAGGGCAGTTTCTAACAATAGTGTCTTCTAATAAGAAACTTGTCTAATGACAAAGAAATTGTGATAACTTCAAATATGTAAATGAGAAGGTGTGAATTCAAGATTCACACACTCAGTTGCCTTCTGTGGCTACTTAGGAAATGTGACTGATAAAGCTGCTGGATGGGGCACTTTAGTCTCTCTAGTGGCAAGGGAATTATTATTAATATTGTGGGAGAGAGGAGAGTCCTTGGCAGAAAGATGATGGCCAAGTGCAGGATTTGGCTGGGAAATGTAGAAGGAGTTCCATCCTTGAGGCAGAAGCCAAGAAGAGGGTTGATGGGATAAACAGGAGGTTTAAAGATAGATAGGTGTGAGGGGTTGGGGACATCTGTGTGAAGTAGAGGGAGGCACCACTGGTGGCTCTGGAGTGGTTTGAGAGTGATACCCTACTCACCTGGAGGGAAGGAGAGGTGGGCATGCTCCCCAGAACCAAGAACCATTCCCAAGGCTGCCAGTGGGTCTCTTCTGTCTTTTGGGACAGGGGTTATAACAGTAAAAAAAGTAGCTTGGGAATACATTCTTTTTTTTTTTTTTTTGGTATAATTTCATTCTTACTCATTTGCTCTCCAAAGTTAACACCAAAAAAAGATTTTCAAATTCAGAATCTTTCCCAGCAGTCTGTTTTTTACTGTATTAAGGAGAACCTATTTTACTTTCCAATCTTTGATGAAATTGGTCAAAATGTGTGGGAAATTTTCTCTGAATGCATGTGTTGCTAATATTCATCCATGACTTTTGTGAAGAAATGAACAGTTGCTACAAAGTCCAACAGGCAGTTCCTTTAAAACCACTACCACCAGCACACAGAAGGAAGCTTACCAAGGCCATGAGGCTGGTGAACCAGTTTGTGTTGGTGGTGACATTCTGAATTGGTGAGCAGCTTATTAACCAGAGCAAGAGGATGTAAACTTTTTGCTAGCCGAGCTGCTGTTTTGGGAATTAACAATTAACCAGGAATTCCATGTGAGCAATGATGTTAGTGACATAGTGTCATTTTGGCATTTCCAGTTTCACACAGTCTGATTGCTTTCATAGTATAGGTTACTTTCTTGGAAACTGCATAGTTATACCATGCTTTCCTGATGTTGTACTAATGTTTTGAAATAGTCCAACTTGCCTTATATTTCTCTTAAAGTTACTCAGTATTTCTTAAGAGCAAGATGTTATTTACTGCTAATTGCAGATTTAAAAATACAGTAATCTGGCTTCCAGCCAAGATGGAGGCATGGGTAGATATACTTCACTTCCTCGCACAACCAAAATAAGGATAACAACCAATTCAAAAACAAAAAACAACCGGAACTGCGAGAAAATCAAACTGTATGGAAGTCTGACAGACAAGGAGGTAAAGAAGAAACATTCATCCTGACTGGTAGGAGGGGCAGAAATGGGAACCTGGGGGTGGTGAGGACACGCAACAAGGTAGCAGCTGGTAGACCTGCCAGGCAAGATGGTGGCTGGTGGACCAGGATATCCCACATTCATGTGCTGATAAGCCAGGAGGAACAA